TGAAGAGATAAACCACATTGTTCCAAAGTTTCAACATCCTCCTCTGATTGCAGTTGCATATAAATTCTGGCTCCTTTAAAAAATTAAAACAATTAAATCTAAAACAACTGAATTGGGATCTGAAATACTGCAATACGCCATCTGGTGACGACCCCGTCCCATGTGCGAAAACCAACATAGGCCAATATTGGCCCAGCATTGTCAAATCGGGCACCAAGTCTTGGCAGACAATATTGGCCCAACTCTTGTGGTGTTAACTGCGGTTGGACGTCGGCAGCCAAGTATCAGACGTCATTACTGAGCCAATCTTGGCTACCATTAGTGGCCCAGTATTGTCAAAGTTTAAAAAATTATAATAATTAATTAATTAACTAATTAATTCATTATACATTTATAATTCAAGTCCTGACAGAAAGCACAATTGTTTAAACATTTGAAAATTTGTAACGCTCGCGGGAACCGAACTCGCAACCTAACGCACCGAAGTCTGACACGCTAACCACTACACTATACGCGGATATGGGAATCTCAAGTCAAAAATGTTTTGATAAGCTGCATTTTAGGAACATTTCAGCCGTTAATGCGCCATTACTGGGCCAAGATTCGTTCCAACTTTGGAAAAAATGACTTGTCAAAAGAAATTCAACATTTCAGCCGTCAATGAGCCAAGATTGGCCCAGTAATGGGACAGAGAAGGCTATTCTACAACGAATAAAAAACTTGTTTTTTCATTAATTTTATTTTTATCTCAATTTTATTATAATTTTTTTTTATTCTTTGTACAGTTGAAATTTAAATAAATAAATGTTTACTAATTTAAATTTTTTACTGTACAAACAACAAGAAATTTGTTTTTTTAAATTTTATTTTTATTTAATAAAAGTCTTTTTATTTTTTGTACAGTTAAAATTTAAATTAGTAAATTATTACTACTTTAAATTTGAAATATTTATTAGTAATTTTTTACTAATTTAAATTTTAACTATACAAAGAATTGAAAAACTTGTTTTTAATTCATTTTATTTTTATTATAAGTTTTTTTATAAGTTGAAAATGTTCAATGAAAGAAAATTTTCAAAATATTTACAATGCAAATATCTTGTAAAATAATAAAAAATTTTCTCTAATTCTTATATTACTATTAAATTGTACATTTTTACCTTGACTATCAATTTTGCCAGTCCGATTCACAGGATCTCCCTTATTACACTTTAAAGTGTTGTTGAAGGATGCAATCCTCACTTCTAATATGTATTGTCCATCTGTTACGGAACCACAACCATAAGTTCCAAAATTTTTTAAAACTCCAACTTTTTCTTCTTGAAATTTTGTTTTAATATATCCGAAGACTTCTAAAATAAAAATTTAAAAACTTAATATAATTAAATACAAAATTTTAATTTGAAAAATATGTATTATTAAAAACTTACTGATTATTTTACCCTCATGATGAATTATGTCACTGATATTAACTGGATCGATATCGAAAGATGGTTCATCAATCGAACCATATTTACCGTACGAAATTATAGACGTTCTTTTGAATATTTGTAATTCGTACTTTGTATTTCCGAAATTATATTCAGATTTGGTGGGAACGCGCGAAAAAGCTTCATCAATATGTAAGATCTACAAACGTTTCAAAGTTCATAATTATAAAAATTATTAAAATATTTAAGTTATAAAAAAGAAACTTATGTTAAAATAATGTACAATGCAAAAGTTATTATTTTAATTATTTTTTTATTTATTAATATTTAATTGTATAAATATTGTTGTTATTGTTCTCTTTATTTATTATTTTACTACAATGCTGATATTTATTATTAATATTTATTATATTATTAATATTCACCTAAGAATCCTACTTAAAAGGTTGAATTTTTTTGTCAAAAACAAAAAAAGAGTGGGAGAAGATAATAACCATTAAAGAAGTAAAAAAAATTGTTAGAAAAATTAAAAAATAATAAATTTCTATTAATTTTAAGTAAGATGTAAAAGTTATATATATATATATATGTATTTAATATATATATTTAATTATTTAATATATATATTTTTTAATTATTTAATATATATATATATATATATATATATATATATATTCGTTTTAATGTAAGCAGGGACGTTTACAAAAGTCGAATTTTACTTTTGTTTTGATATTTGAAAACAATAAAATTCGACTGGTATTTAATTTTTTATTTTTTATTGAAACAAAAGTCTACTCCACATTACTTTTGTTCACACAGAGTAAAACAAAAGTCTACTACATATTATTTTCATTTCCACAGATTGAAACAAAAGTCTACTACACATTACTTTCGTTAACACAGTTTAAAACAAAAGTAGTTTTGACTTCAATTTGTTATTAATAAAAATAATGATGAGTAATTCTTGTAAATAGATAATATAAATATAATATAACGTAATAAATGCAACCCGACTTGCATAGAAAAGTGAAAAAAGATATTGCGCAGTAGTCTTTTTTAAAATTGGCGCAAAAAGATGTCGTCGACGCATGCGTTGTCTGCCTTCTCGGTTACATTGATAACAAAGTCGTAGGACTAGAAAGATTGAGTTGTTAATGAAATTTAATAATAGTATTTAACAAGTGAAAGTGGAAAATAAATGTTTATTTGTGTAAAATAAAGATAAAAATTGTTTGAAAATGTTAAGAAAAGTTGGATTTAATTGATTGAAAGATTTATTATTTATGACAGTAAGTAAAAGATTACTAAAAAATAAATTAACCTAAAGTGAGGTTAGAAAGTTTGTTTTGATTTTGTTTAGTTAAAAAGAATTGACCGGTAGTGTAAAATCAAATGAAATAAGATAAGAAGCTAAATAATTAAATAAACAACTGTACGTACAGTATAATTAAGTTGTTCTTAAGAAAACAATTATTGTTGTTCTCATTAATTCGATGAAAGATGAAAGCAGTTTAGAAATGAATTTCAAGATCAAAAATAAATCAGCAACCCCATAAAGGTAAGAATTATAAAAATATTAATGTGAACAATTAAAGTAAATAAATTATTCTATTACATTTAAAATATTTAAAAAATAATATCCCAATGAGTGTCCTTCTAAAAATTTTACAATAGTTGATAAAAAGAAAATTTGTTTTGAGTTTGTTTTTAAAAAGACATTTCTTATTAAATTAAACTTTATTATCTTCTAAATTAAAATTGTTACTAAAAAATGTGTCAATGATAAAGTATTATAAATTATAATTTGTTTTACCAATTTTTATATTAATGTAGAAATACAATCATAATTTTCTTAAACTGTTAAACTTTATTATTTACTTAAATGTAAACATAATAAAAATTGTAATATTAATAACATTAACAAAGCAATTATAATAATCATACAAATTATTTTAGGTTTTTCAACAACTAAAAGTAAAATTTAATAAATGAATGGAAGAACCGAATATGGATATCTCTTTAAAGTTGTTAGAAAAAGTATCAAAGGATAATGAAGAATTAAGTTTCCAATACAGACAATTTTGGACAGTTTTCAAGGAAAATATGATAAACAATTGCAGCTGAACAATCATCCAGTCTCAAAAAACTTTACAGCCTACAGCTTTTCCAATTAATAACAAAAAAACATATTTATATATATTATTTATTAATAATATATTTATATTATATATATTTATATTTATTTATTTATATATATTTATTTTTAAAAACTAAACAAAAAAATATCAATTTATAAATTACAAAATAATTCGTAACAATTAATAAAAACTTTTTCTGTTTTCTACAGGAATTCAAGAAAATATGTAGGGGACAAAGAAAATGGAAATTGCAGTAACATAAAAAAATAATACAATATTTTCATCCTCGTCAGTATCTAAATCGGCAAAAATGATTCCGTAGAGAAATATTGTTCCCATACAAAAATCCAAGTCAATACCCAGCATTACATCGGCAGCTAAACGGAAATTGAAAAAAGAAAAAAAAGAGAAAACTAAAAAAGAATACAAAAATCTATTAACATAACATGATAGGGTTAATTTAGAAATTAGGTGTCGATATCCCTTTTGACTCTTGCCCTTTGAAATTTCCAAATATTCTAACAAATTTATTTTTCTTTTTTGCTTTGATTTTATAATTTTTAATTATTCATCTCGATTTGCGTTAATGCTCAGAGTTTGATTTTTGTCTTTAAATCTAAAATTTTTAATTTTCCATCAAAATTAGTTGAATTTGCATTATTAATTCTTAATTTAAGTTAAATTATTATACTTCTACAATTTTATAAATTTACTAGAGTCAGTTAGTGAATCTAATAATTAATTAGCTCCAGGTTTTCGGATTTATTAAGATCTGTCTTATTTCAAGTTTCGATTAGACCTGAATTTTTCATGTTTTATGTAATAAAATAAATTTAAATTTCTTTATTTCGTCACAACTTGTTTGTGTTAACTGTGATTTATTTATTAGAGTCTACAACTGACTCTGATAATTGATATTGTTAATGTTTAGAGATCGATTTTGGTCTTTAAATCAGAAATGTTCATTTTTTCATTTAATTTCGTTAAAATTACATTATAAATTTTCAATTTGAGTTTAATTTATTTACTTTTACCACACTTTGTATATTTCATAGTTAAATAGTGTCTTTTACAATTAGTAATCTTCAGATTTAGGTTTAGTTTGAGCACTCTATTTTTTAACGTCAATGCATTATCATAATATGTTGTTGTCTTTTGTTTTTTCTGAATGTGCAGTTCTTAATTGTGCTCTGTTGTTATCTGATAATACATCGTATCAATGTTCAGTGTTTGATTTTTCTTATTATTATTTGTTAAATTAAACATTTTTTTTCGTTATTCATTTCGTAAACTTTTATAATTAATTATTTCTTTAATTTTTTTATTTCTTAAATATTGTTTCCATTTATTCTTTTGTTCTTTCTTAACAACAATTTATTCCTTGGATGAATAATTTCTTGGCCCTAAAAAGGTTCGACTGTTTTTACGGGTAGTTGTGTGAGGATATAATTGGTATTCTCCGTGATAATTTATTTAAGCAAATACTCAAATAAATCGCCCCGTGCTACAACACAGGCTCGAAGGCGTTTTTCAACTTCGTCATTGATTACTGTTCTAAGAACTTCCGGTGGAATCTCGGCGGCATACTGAAGAATCCGTCTTCGCAGCTCATCAATATTGGGGATCCTCTCAAATCCGTACAACTTACCTTTTAGGTAAGCCCAAAAGATGAAGTCCAGAGGTGTACAATCTGGAGTACGTGGAGATCATGGGATGGAAGGGCTGAATTTTTTAATCCATCTGTTGTCGAACATTTCGTTTAACAACTCTCGAACGCATGTGGCTGTATGTCAAATCGTAATTTCTTCGCCTCCACTGTGAATAAATAAAAAATTCATTGATTAAATTTATAAAAATAATTTAGAATAATATTAATGTAATATAACAAAATCAATTAACATTAATACAGAAGTTTAACTGTTAAATATTTAGAATAACTATTTTATGACAATAGACAACATTTTCTGTAGAATTATCTGGATTTACTTTTTAAAGTTAATGTTAATAAATAATAATTAATTAATTAATTGTAATTAAATGACTATGTCTCATAAAATGTTGTAAATAAAAAAATATTTAAACAACGTGTCAAAATATTTATTTTCAACAATAAAATTTTTTACCCAATAAAAAAAAATAATAAAAATAATAACCATAAAATCAGACTTTTACTGTATTTACTTGTGTTAATAATGTACTAAAGTTTCAAAATTTACAGAGAACGATATTTTTAAATTTTGCAAAGCGATCTGTAGTTTACTATTTTTTTTCTCAAAAATGTAAACAAAAATTAATAATCATTTATTACACTTTATAGTTCTTTATAGTTCTTTATAGTTTATAGTTCTTTATTTCCTGAAAATTTTATTTACAGTGTTTTAATAATTAATTACGAACACTCTTAAGTTTTCTATTTAAAATGAATTAAATATTACTTACTATATCCGCATCGCCAATGATTTCTGTAATCGCTGGTCCTATTTGATTTATCAGCATCTCCTGATACTTTGTTGCGGTTAGGTTCCCCTCAATGAAAAATGGTCCAATGAGTTTATCATCGAGCATGCCGCACCACACATTCACTTTTTCTTGATATTGTGAATGTGTTGGGACAACAACTCGAGGATTCCCTCTGGACCATGTACGCAGATGTTGAACGTTTCGTTTTCCATCTATCCAAAAGGAACATTCGTCTGTCCATAGGATTCTGCGCTTCATTGTGGGATCCCGCCCGAAATGATCAAGAATCTGTTGACACATTTAAAGTCTCCGCGGATCTGTCCGCTTCTGATTTTATAAGGAAAGTATCTATTCTCTTTAAGTATCTTAAGAACAGAGTGCTTGGATATTCCAAGATCCATGGCGATTTGTCTGCTTGTCGCATGCGGATTTATTTCAACGCAAGCGCATATGCGGATTTTCATCTCCTCAGTCAAAACGTAATTTCCTCGCCTCCGCTGTGAATAAATAAAAAATTAATTGATTAAATTTTATTAAAATAATTTAGAAAAATATTAATATAACATAACAAAATCAATTAACATTAATACATAAGTTTAACTGTTAAAAATTCAGAATAACTGTTTTATGACAAGAGACAACATTTTCTGTAGCATTATCTGGATTTACTTTTTAAAGTTAATGTTAATGAATATTTTAGTCTACATCCTTAAATTGTAATTAAAAGACTATGTCTCATAAAACGTTGTAAATAAAAAAATACTTAAACAACATGTTAAAATATTTATTTTCAACAATAAAATTTTTTACCTAATAAAAAAAATAATAAAAATAATAACCATAAAATCATTCTTTTACTGTATTTATTTGTGTTAATAATGTACTAAAGTTTCAAAATTTACAGAGAACGATATTTTTAAATTTTGCAAAGCGATCTGAAGTTTACTATTTTTTTTCACAAAAATTTAAACGAAAATTAATAATCATTTACCACGCTTTATAGTTCTTTAGAACATTGAATAATATGGTTTTTTGTTATATTTTAATACTTAATCAAGTCTTTAGAAGGAAGATGATTAATTATTAATTAATAATTAGTATGAATTTTAAAAGGTACACTAATTTATAATTTTGTAGTATTTCGTAAATACTTGTTAGGTAGATTTAGAAATAAATTAACTCTTAAAAAATACAAAAATTAACAATCTCTGATAACTTAATTTAATTGTATTATTATTTTCAATTGCAAAATAAAATTGATAAAAATAAATATTTAGATATTTATTGGATACATCTGATTTAAAACTTAGGAATTAAATTTGATTTTAATGCAAACTTTTTTCAATACGCACTAAAAGCACAATTTCAACATTTTTTAAAATATGCCGACCGCCATTGGCTGAAAGTCAGTGATTTAACCAAATAAGAATAGAATTAAAAAAATAAATTTTAAAATAGTACATTGTGCAACGAGAGTGGAAAGAAGCTGTTTTCTGACGAGACTATAAGTTGATGCTCAAGCGAAGCGAGAGCATTAATCAATCTCGTCGGAAAATGCTACTTTCCGACCACGTTGCAGACAGTGCTTTGTGCAACATCTGCAAGAAAAAAGCTATTTTATATGCTATTTAGAAGAATAAATTTAAGGTAATGTTATTTAATATGCCTGAAAGTGTGCAGCAAAATGTACTTTGCTGTACACTTTATCAGAATGCAGAAATCAACAACTTTGTGCTGCATTTACGTTAAAGTAAAGTAGCGGTTTTCTTGCAGGTGTTGCACAAATTTAATTTAAATGTATCTTTATTTAATTAATTTTAAAGTTATATTAAATTTAATATCTTAGTTTATCAGTATAAAAATAAAAAAACTACGATGTTTTAATTAATAAAATATCAGTACTCACTCGTGGTCCATCTTGATGATGATCATCTACGCAACCTGTTTCTTGAAACTTGCGAAGGCATAAATTGACAGTATTGTTAGAAGGAATCGGTCTATCAGGATATTCCACGGAAAATAAATCTTTCGCCTCTCTTATGCTCGCGCCACCCAACTGCATCCTCACCAGGAATGTCTTTTCTTCACTGGTATAGACTATGTTCGGCATTTTTTACCAAATGAGTTAATCCTATTTCTTTTACAGAAAATCTGAATGTCACTCACGAATAGAAAAAAAACAATCTATATTCTTTCTAGAATGTTCTATGAGGGTGGTAACATTAAAAAGTGAAAAAAATGCAAAAATTAATTCGATAATAACAGTGCTACCAGTCTTAATTTGTGAGGGGACGATTTGTCCACTAAATTGGATCATGTAACATTCGTTTGTAACAGTGCTGCCAGTCTAAATTTGTGAGTGAGACGATTTGTCCACTAAATTAAATTATGTAACATTCGTTTATAACAGTGCTACCAGTCTAAATTTGTGAGGGAGACGATTTGTCCACTAAATTAAATTATGTAACATTCGTTTATAACAGTGCTACCAGTCTAAATTTGTGAGGGAGACGATTTGTCCACTAAATTAAATTATGTAACATTCGTTTATAACAGTGCTACCAGTCTAAATTTGTGAGGGAGACGATTTGTCCACTAAATAAGATCATGTAGCAATAGTTTATAACAGTACTACCATGCTTAGTTTTTGATCTTTTTCTCTTTTTAACGTTACCACCCTCACAGAACATTATAGAAAGAATATTGATGGTTTTTTTCGATTTGTGAGTGACAATTACATTCTCAGTAAAAGAAATACGATTAACTCTTTTGGTAAAAAGAATGCCAAAAATAGTCTTTCTACTGAAGAAAAGACATTCCTTGTGTGGATGCAGTTAGGTGGCGCAAGCATAAGAGAGGCGAATGATGTTTTTTCCTTGGAATATCCTGATAGACCGATTCCCTCTAACAATACTGTGAATTTGTGCATTCGCAAGTTACAAGAAACAGGTTGCGTAGATGATCATCATCAAGATGGACCACGAGTGAGTATACTGTTATTTTATTTATTAAAACATCGTAGTTTTTTTATTTTTATACTGACGAAATAAGATATTAATTTTAATATAAATTTAATTTTAATAAAATTAATTAAATAATGTTAAAATCAAAATTAAAAAATTTATTATTTTTCTTCTTTCATATTTGGTTAAATCACTGACTTTCGGCCAATGGTGGTCGGCATATTTTTAAAACTGTCGAAATTGTGTTTTTAGTGCGAATTGGAAAAGTTTTTCATTAAAAACAAATTGAATTCCACAGTTTTAAATTAGAAATAACTAATAAATATCTAAATAATTATGCATTGTACCTTTTTAAAATCATACAAATTAATTATTAATAATTATACATCTTCATTCTAACGATTTTTTCAAGTATAAAAATAAAAAAACCATATTATTCAATGATATAAAGAACTATAAAGTGTAATAAATGATTATTAATTTTTGTTTACATTTTTGAGAAAAAAAATAGTAAACTACAGATCGCTTTGCAAAATTTAAAAATATCGTTCTCTGTAAATTTTGAAACTTTAGTACATTATTAACACAAGTAAATACAGTAAAAGTCTGATTTTATGGTTATTATTTTTATTATTTTTTTTTATTGGGTAAAAAATTTTATTGTTGAAAATAAATATTTTGACACGTTGTTTAAATATTTTTTTATTTACAACATTTTATGAGACATAGTCATTTAATTACAATTAATTAATTAATTATTATTTATTAACATTAACTTTAAAAAGTAAATCCAGATAATTCTACAGAAAATGTTGTCTATTGTCATAAAATAGTTATTCTAAATATTTATCAGTTAAACTTCTGTATTAATGTTAATTGATTTTGTTATATTACATTAATATTATTCTAAATTATTTTTATAAATTTAATCAATGAATTTTTTATTTATTCACAGTGGAGGCGAAGAAATTACGATTTGACATACAGCCACATGCGTTCGAGAGTTGTTAAACGAAATGTTCGACAACAGATGGATTAAAAAATTCAGCCCTTCCATCCCATGATCTCCACGTACTCCAGATTGTACACCTCTGGACTTCATCTTTTGGGCTTACCTAAAAGGTAAGTTGTACGGATTTGAGAGGATCCCCAATATTGATGAGCTGCGAAGACGGATTCTTCAGTATGCCGCCGAGATTCCACCGGAAGTTCTTAGAACAGTAACCAATGACGAAGTTGAAAAACGCCTTCGAGCCTGTGTTGTAGCACGGGGCGATTTATTT